TCTACCTTCTCCTCTCTGTCAACGCTCTCTGGTTTCATTTAAAAGAGTCGATCATCAGATATTGTCCAAGATTAACCTTCAGGGTGGATATAGCTCACTAGCGGCCTCGCACCGAGGACCTATCCACGTCATCATTTACCCAGAATGCTTTGCGCGTAAATAAAATGGCTTTGTCCATGTTAAAATATGTTTTTAAAAATTTACAAAACTAAAAATCCTACAGTATTTTTACAGTCTTTATTTTACAGTTAAAATATATGTTTATCAAATAAAGACTAATGTTACAACTAATCGGAGATCCCTTTAAACGTCTTCATTAGGAATATAACCCAATCTCAGCAATGAGTRTTTATTAAAAAAATATTCAAGAGCATAAATCTGTCTTGTGCCTCTCTGAGAGTCTGGGGTTGGGGTTTGTTGTTACGGGTCATTCAGTTCTTGGAGCAGTTCACAGCTGGGATGAAGATCAGCACCTCCAAATCTGATGCCATGGTCCTCAGTCAGAAAAGGGTGGACTGCTCTCTCTGGCCTCAACTGGAGGAGCTCAAGTACAGTAAGAAAGGTCATTTTTGGAAAGTGAGGACATTTTCCTGGTCCTCAGTTTATTTGCAGCTCTGCTGCTCTGTACTGGTTAGGTTTAGAGGTATGGTGTGAATTAAGTTCTGATTCAGGTTAGAGTTAGCTGTACATCAATAATGGTTAGTTTTAGGGAAAATGTCTGGGTTAATAAATACAGTTATAAAAATGAATGGACGTCGATGGAAGTCACCGTTGGTGATTGTTCTTTACAGCCACATGAAGAGGCAGCAAGCCTGACTTTGTGGCTTGATTGGGATCAGCTTTGAGGTCCAGCAGGGTCTGCACAGCCCCAACATGACCGTTCTTACAGGCTTCATACAGAGGCGTCGCACCATCTCCTGCAGGCCCGTTTATATCAGCACCTGAAAAACAGACAGTCAGTGAACACACCTCAGCTCAATTAAACATCACAAAATCCTGAGTTCCTGATGTCTGTGAACACACCTCAGCTCAATTAAACACCACAGAACACTGAGTTCCTGTTGTCAGTGAACACACCTCAGCTCATGAACTCTGAGTTCCTGATGTCAGTGAACACACCTCAGCTCATGAACTCTGAGTTCCTGATGTCAGTGAACACACCTCAGCTCATGAACTCTGAGTTCCTGATGTCAGTGAACACACCTCAGCCCATGAACCCTGAGTTCCTGATGTCAGTGAACACACCTCAGCTCATGTAAAGCACTGACCTCTCTGAGCAAGCAGCTGGAGGATTTCTGTGTGTCCGTGCTGTGCAGCAGTGAAGAACGGCTGAATGTTGTAAAGGTTTTTAGTTTTCACATTTGCTCCAGCATCCAGTAACGTTTGGCAGAGATTTGGTCGCCCACATCTGCAGGCTTCATGAAGAGCACTTCCTCCCTGCCTGCAAGTGAGATTCACCTGAGCTCCATGCGCCAGTAGCAAGTCTACAACATCTTCGTTTGGATTCTCGCAGGCTGAAAAACAACAGAAGGAAACTGGAATTTCTCTGAGGCAGGCTCCCTGACGTCACTGTGACATCACCGTGACGTCAGTGTGACATCACTGATGTCAGCACTCACCTGTGAACAGAGGCGTCTCTCGGTCCTTGTTGGCAGCATTTACATTGGCTCCATGCTTCAGCAGAAATTCCACACAGGAAACGTTTCCTCGTAGAGCAGCGAGCAGCAGAGCTGTTTGCTTCTTCAGAGTGCATTTGTTCACTGAGCCGGGATCAGCTGGGGTCAAAGGTCAAACAAAGGTCATGAGGAGTCAGGATTTAAACAGAGGTCATCAAGAGGTTACCATCACAGATACTTATAATATGACAGAAAACATTTACATCTATCTGTGGTGAAACTTAACGGGGCAATATCATGTAAAATCAACTTTTTTTAGTTTTATATCATGTTATAATGTTATACTCAAATAAAAAACATGCCCAAAGCCTTGRTTTGACTCATTCATGCATGTTTGAGAAATCCTGCAGCATTTTTAGGAAGTCATGCTGAGGAGCAAAACGACAGGTGGGGACTGGAAACGCCCCTGGGACGTGTCTTTAAGCCAAACTTCCTCACGGCAGAGCGCACCCCCTCACCCCCACCCCACACCGAAATGGGCAAAACTGAAGCGGAAGGTGGTTCTTAAAGAGACAGAGGCCAATTTCAAGGCATTTAGAAG